GTGGGGTCAGCAGGTCCGTGGTGGGACGAGGAGGACTCAGACCTTCCCTATTGTCTCCTGGATCCATGGCAGGTAGTTGTAGACCTTGCTGTAGACCCCTGGCTTCCCCGCCTGCCCGCAGGGGTGGTCACCCCATGAGACGATGCCTTGCAGGACCCCGTTGCAGATAAGGGGCCCCCCCGAGTCACCCTGGGAAAAAAAGGGACCATGACAGGACCTCGGCCACAAGACCAGGGTGGAGGTGGCCACGGGGTGACACATGTGACCACCGGTGGGGATGGCTGCTCTTGGGACCTCAAGATGTGGGACGAGGCACAGCGAGGTGGCCAGGAACCGGTGGGGTGGGCCATGAGGATGTGTCCATGAGGACATGGTCATGCCTCGAAGGCCAGGGGGACACGGGGACCAAAGGGACGTGGTTATGGGTGGTGGCAGTGGAACGTGGGGACAGAACCACATCTCCAAGGCGAGGGGACAGGGGGACGAAAGGGACATGACCATGGCAGATGGGTACGTAGGGATGGGACATGCAGATGTGTCCACATTTCAAAGCCCAAGGGACAAGGGAGACCAGAGGGAGGTGGCTGTGGGACACGGGGACACTGTGATGGGACATGGGGACAAGGTGATGGGACATGGGGACAAGATGATGGGAGATGGGGATAAGATGATGGGTCATGGGGACAAGATGATGGGACATTGGGACAAGGTGATGGGACGTGGGGACAAGGTGATGGGGCATGGGGACATGGTGATGGGACATGGGGATAAGATGATGGGAGATGGGGACACGGTGATGGGAGGTGGGGACACGGTGATGGGACATGGGGACACGGTGATGGGATGTGGGGACACAGCTACATCTCAAAGTCCAGGAGATGAGGGGGACCAGTGATGGTGGGACATGGGAATGAGGCTGTAGGACATGGGGACGTGCTTGTGGGACATGGGGACAAGGTGATGGGACATGGGGACAAGATGATGGGAGATGGGGATAAGATGATGGGTCATGGGGACAAGATGATGGGACAT